TGATTCAATATCAACTTTCTCCAAATGAGAAATTGATAGATGATGAGCTGCGTGCCCCAAATGTTATTGAAACATTTATCTGTTGAGAGATAAATGAGTAGTTGGTGGGGTTGTGACAAGAATTGGCCTGGGCTTTGCCTTTTTCAATATTAGTCTCCAAAGAATCGAGAACTAATAGATTATGTGGTATGCCGGGATTATGTAAGTTTGGAACATGATTTTCGTATTCTTTTAATCCTGACACAACTCTCGTCAATTCTTTTGGCTCACAACAACTACCCCTCTCTTTTGATTTAAACTTATTCAAATATGGTTGTCCTCTTGGGTAGGTCTGTCGGTTTTGACATTTCATAGAGGTATTTCTGATAAGCACTCAGTCCCTCCTAAAATTTAGCGTTATGCACATATAATCAAAAAGATTGATCAAAAATATTATTACTTTAAAGCACAATGATCAGATAAAAAATTGATCAAGWAATTTGGCTTTAAGCACGATCAATAAAGAATGATGCGACAACAATTCGATTATTCAGTATATATGAGAGAAATGAATGAATATCTGTAAGAACAAGTTTACAGATTCTGATATTTAAAAAAAAATGAATGAATGTGTATTAGTCAAAGAAAAACAATATCAGAAAAACAATCTTGAATACAAACGAGTGTATTATCACCGAAAAAGATTTTTGTATAAGAGACGTGATAATAACAGTTTGAAGAATAGCTGAAACAGGTATTGGAATTATGTACGCCGAGATATTACGCAAGTAAAATCTCAAGAAATACCTGTTCAGAAAATGTACTCGTTTCCAAAAAAAAATTCATTTACCGAAAAAGATTTATTCAAAAATTTTCTAGAGACTCCCCCTAGAAAACATATTTAAGCTCAAAAATTTAAAAGAAAAAACATTTTAAGCACGGGTTCTAAACTAAGTGTTTAGAAACCACACTCGGTAAAGCACGGGTTCTGAACTGAAGTGTTCAGAAGCCTTGGTTGGAACAAATTACAACTCCCCCTGCATCGGTGTRTCATTGAAATGATATTCTGATCAGCACAAACTTGACACACCTGTAAAACCAGATTAAGTAGATTTTGATACCGAAACGAACTTGGATCCTATATTGTTAGTATGGTGTTGGGGTATGTTGTAATTACCAAACCATTTATTTTGATAAGATATTTGCCTTTCAGTACGATGAATAGGATGATCAAGAATAAAATATGAGTTATACCAGTAATTGTGATCATACCTGTTCTTACCTTTCCAGTTGTTGTTCTGATAACTGTTATCTCCATGCCACCTGTTGAACCTTTTGTTATTCACAAAATTATTGGTTCTGCATGTTGAGCACATAATCCTTCTCTTGCTAAGATTAATCAAATCATTAGTAGA